ACTCACGTAAGGGCGTTAAAAATTTTCTACAGGAAAATTACTAACTCGACAACCAGAAGAGCTGGAAGGCCGAAATTTTAGGTGGAAGTTCCTTGTTCACGTGCAATTTAAAAATTTCCAATTCAGCTTTCCAGGCACGTGTAGTACCCAAGTAGGGGCATGTGAAGGTTTTGGCTGGAAAATCGCTAACTCGGCAACCAGAAAAGCTGGAAAGCTGAAATTTTGGTGGGAATGTTCCCTGTCCAAGTATAACTTAGTTATTTCAGATTCAGTACTGAGGTATGCGTGGTTCTCAAGTACGGGCAATTAAAATTCTTGGCGAAAAAAATTTCTCACTGAACAACTAAGTTACTCTTAAAGAACGATTGTTAAATGGAAATCGTACATTTATTTCGCAAAATTTATGGTGGTTTTTGCTAGTAACCGCAAAATGTAGATGCAAAGCAACAGCCATTCGTACAGTTAATGACCTGAGTAATTCAAGTTTGGTACAAAAAGGCGTGATCGCACGAGCCCGCCCGGTGCGTTCCAGCCTGGGTTTCAATTTATATATATGCGAAAACGCATGAAACCCGTGCGTTATTATGAACACATTAGAAAACCTTGCATCTGACACAAACAATAAATCGGTCTTTGAAGCGGAAATGCGGGGGACCCCAATAAGATACTAAGACAATTTTTCATTGGTTTAACATTTTAATAATCTGTAAAACATTGTTGATGCTTCTGCTCAGTAAAATGGATAGGGGTGAAGCTGATGTGGGTTGCTAGTTGATGATGTGTTCAGCGACATAAGCATCAATTATTTGTGACCAATGGCCACTGCTCACAAAATTTTTCGGTTTTGCAGAGAACCAGATTATGGAGGAGCAATTTGGCGAAACTTGGAGGAAGGCGAAACGATTACGCTTGCCGAGTATTCGTGCGGCACATGATCCTGGTTAAGAAAACTCAAAAACACCAATTTTGGGCGAATGTTTGAAGTACAAAGCAGCCAACCTCCTGGCCGACTTGCAGGATCCTTCTTTACGCACTGTACGTGAAAACGTTAGTGTTCAGCATAGTAGTTCCTGGGCGCAGATCGGACTTCGGTAGGTCGAAGAATTTTCTGGAGTGCCGTTTGTTTGTTGCCAGAATGGATGCTCATTGATACTATACCATTAGGCAAAAGGTTTTTATCTCACCATTTGTGTTTGCCCTATCACTCAGTACAAGTACCGCCGTTCGGAATAGCCTTCTTCTCCCTTAATCCTAGGGCTTCGATTCTATAAATGCTTGATTAATTACTGTTCGGAGTAGCCGACTCTTTTTATATAGTTGTTTGGTTTTTTTAAAAATAGTTACCTGAAATAAGCATTGGATGTAATCTGTTCTGGATGAGTTCTAAAGATGCCAGCTCTCAGGATCTTTTGTTTTTGTGGGCAAGGGAGAATGCAGTGCAGGATTTCCAGATTTTCATCCCAACAATTTTCCAGCAAATCGAGTAGAAGCGATGGAAAATGCAGTGCAAGATATAGCGATGGTGATAGAAGCGCCAGCTCAGCATGAGACAATGTAAGAATTTGTATAAAATTTATGAGTTCATTCGTAACTGGAATGCATGGAACTGCTGTGATTTCATAGTACGATTCTCCAACTATGCATCTGGCTGCTTTCTTGCTTATAATTTGCTTGACCAATGCTACATCACTGCTGGCGATCATTGTGTTTGCTTTGTCTTGTGAAGAAATAACTGTCTGAACGACTATCCACATAGAATTTTTCTAAAGCCTGAACCATTTCCTGGTGATTTTAGTGTATATAAAGCATTACAGCCTCGTCTCAAAACTTACCACCCCTTAGCCACAACGAATTGCCCCAGTGACTGGAATGAGATCACAGTTACTTTATTGACGTGATCGGGCACAAAATTTTCCAACTATTTCCGGAAAACCGTTATTTTTTAACGAATGGCAGTTTTATAATCAGTATTAACCATGGACTGTACTAATGAAACTGTTGATTTAAGAATGGCATACAGAACACCGAGCTCATCAACGATCAGCCAACAAGCACTCATTAAGAAAAGGGTTATTGTCTTAATGGTTTTGTTTTTCGTTTAAGCTTCATCCCTAGAGAACAGTTCT